ATCGCCTCCCGTTTCTTCTGAGCGTTCCGACCGATCTTTCAAGTCGCACAAAATATTCTTCTGTGGCGGTGTTAAGTGCACGTACGATATCATAGCCACGTGCGCTCCGCCAGGAAGTGCCGTTCGACGCCCTGCGCTACATGACGGGCGAGTGTAACTACGGCGGGCGCGTGACGGACGACTGGGACCGACGGACGCTGCGCACCATCCTGGCCATCTTCTACGACCAGAAGCTGGTGGAAGACCCCGGCTACAAGTTTGATCCCAGCGGGATCTATTTTGCGCCACCGGAAGGAGACGTAAGTAGAATAGTGCTGCGCTGCGCCGCAAGCGCCGACAATCCGGCCAGCCCGACAATATGCGTCATCCTAAGTGTGTCGCGTTCCATTTGCCGCTTGCTTCTCAAGTGTGGCGGCCCCCTCCGCGCACGCATCTTTTATTCATGGAGTCACATTAACATAGTCATTACAACAAATGTCAGCCATCCGACTTGTTGTCGAACCGGCAATCTTTGTCTGTTTTTTTTCTTTTGTTTTTTTGTTTGAAGTACGACAGTTACATTGAGTACACCAAGTCGCTGCCCCTCAATCCCTCGCCGGAAATCTTCGGCATGAATGCCAACGCCGACATCACCAAGGACCAGTCGGAGACACAGTTGCTGTTTGATAGCATCTTGCTCACGCAGGTACATGGCTTTTATTTATTTATTTTTTGTCAAGATGGCTACTTCAAACCAAAATGAGGGCCTTAATAGTAAAAGAAGAAAATGTGCACTTTTACAGGATCACGTAACGAGACTAACCTCACAGGCACTTGCAGTGTTACTCCCACTACATGAGGGGTGTCCACGCTTTCCCGTTCGAAGGCCGTATACTGAAAAATCGAAAAAAATGATTTGACTTTAATTCATTAGATGCTGAAATCAATCAAGCAAACAATTATTTATCGCCTGTATTTTCTCATTCATTTGATAAACTTTCTGCGAAAGGTGATCTTGGGCAAATAGACCATTTGAGGATGTGGGTGCATTTGGCTCATTAGCGCCCCCTGGAAAGCAAGCAAAAAATACTAGTTTTGCCAACGAGCACAAAATGGGGTGGGCGTGCCCATCATAACAGGATGCATCAAAAAAGTCTCATGGCCCCCAGGAAGTCACCCATTTTGTGTCAAAGCAGCCATTTTGTGTCAAATTCCAGGCCTCATACTTTGTTTGAAAGTTGGGGGGCGAAAAGATGAGCTCCGGACACCATGTTTCTCCATTTTAGGCTGCCCCAAAAAGTCTCAAGCGCTCACGGCCCAACTTGAACGGAAAGTCGGCCGTTTGGTTTGAAGCGCGGCCATTTCGGACTAATTGCAGGGCTCATACTTTGAGCAACTCCGACTGGGTTGAAACATGAAAGGGTTTCAATGACGCAAATCACGAGCGAGTGAAACTCCGACCCTGCAAACATGTAAATGAGCGAGCGGTTTTGGCCTGCTCGCGTGAAGCGCGCCGCGTGCCAGCGAGGAGGCTCTTGGACGGCTTCCCGCACGCTACGCTCAAGCTTGGCCCGCGTCCCGGGTGTTCATTTGCAGGATGCTCGCTTCCCAGAGTGGATATTTTCATTTCAGAGGAAAAAAAAAA